TATAAAGGCAATGGGTTTTAAGAAAAGCAAGATTTATGGATGTCAACTTCTTTATTGTAAATAACACGACGTTTCGGAGTGTATACTTGCTCCTTCATCGGGTGGATTCCACTTCTAAATGCCCTTCAAAGATTTGAATGGGGTTTAACTTTATATACGCATTTGAACGCAAGCAACTAAACATTATTTGTGTTACGGTAATTTCATTTGTGCATTTTACGTTTGTATTAGACTAACATCTAGTCTCTGAAATGAACATATTTTACAGAGAAAACTGTTCATAAAACTAATCATAAAATATACAGACAAGGATCCCAGAGACTTTCTTCATTGTCAGAAACTGAAACTGTGGAAATCTAGACTTTCCACATAATCTAGACTTACATGGGCTTTCTTGGATATATTTGTTTCGGGGTCTGTTTGACAGACTACGCTTGTATACATATTATCTGGATCTCTGTTAGGCTTCAAACATTGTACTTAGTCAGGAATCGAACTGAAACAGTAGGTGTTATGAGCAAACACTGTAACCATTAGACCACCCCGCAGAAGACGCTTTGTTATTTCAAAAGAAATCTGTTAAGTAGCAAACTCTATAAACACAATGACGGGACTACTTTAAGCCCAGATTACACACTTTGCCATCGAATGTATGTTCGACCGCATCACGCCTCTGGGACCTGGGCCTATGTACACTGAATAAATATTTGTGTTCGCCAATTATCAAGACCAAAACAGTAAAATTGTTGACGTCAGTGTTTGACAATAACGAGGACATGCACGTGCATCCTGTTTACGTCCTGCTCAGGAAGTAGAGGATGCGGGAAGACAGTCTGATAAAAGGCATACATCGACATGCGATAGCAGACCCTCGTGGTCATCGTTGCTGTACCAGCAGTTGATGTAATAGTTGGGGGGGTCGTCGACGTCGAAGTTTAGGAAGTCGGAGATGATGTATGCAGTGGATGGTGAAGTTGTAGAGCAGGTGTAGTAATGGTTGATGTAAGCAGTGATGCATACAAGTTACAGTAGTGAATGCGTAGTCGTAGAGGAAGTAGTTGGTTGTTGCCGCAGTCATAGCGGAAATAGTTAATAGTTTGAAGTTAAACATGGCAAAAGATAGTTTCAGAGTGTGCAGTGTATATCTTCTGGAAAAAATAATTTCACTGAAGGATGCGGTTTTTGTGTTTGAGAAACATTTTGATGTACATGTAGTCGCAGTTAGACGTCTTCAGATCGTAGGTTTCACACTTCCTTAACCAAATGTTAATTGAGAATCGTTCCGCTTCGCTAATATGTGTCGATTTCAAAGACATTTTGTCTATCGCATATTTGACCCTGTTAAAAAAACCGAATGCACCCAAATTGACTGGCAGCAAAAGGTGTTTATTTGAGTTGTTTTTAGTGAATGAGAGATATTTTGGTTATAACGCATCGCTGTATTTCGGCAAAATGTATGAGATGTCGCGAATATTTGAACACCAAGTTCGTTGGTCCTCAATCTTGATTCATATTAGTCAACTTCGGAATAAGCATCAATTTCAATAGTTTCAAAAGCCTTACATGTCAGTTTCAATTAACATTACGTATGAAAATGTGGAAAGTTAAATTGCCGTCCTTTTAACAGAAAATATGCAACGGTTTAAATGAAAACGATATGTGCAGACCGAAAATAACCGCTACGATTGACAAGGGACATGAGGTTTAAAAGTTTTCAGGATGAATGTGGTGGTAAAGCCTCTCTAAACATAATCAAGGTCGACATAATGACGTAATTCCAGAACACTGGCGCGGCTATTTGTTATTTGTAAATTGACAGATTTTATCTTACCTTTATCATCTCTCTTCAAGTCTTCACTTAGCAAGGGATGTAATCAGTAAAAGAAAAATACCTCAACGCGAGGAAATATACAAACTTGTATATATCTACGAAATTCAAAAATATCCATATCCCTTCTAACATTTTCGAAACTAAAAAAATAGATCTGGCAATGTGTTAAAGGTTTATTTTCACTGCTAACGAAACACGTGGAAGACGATGTGGTGTGTCATGTAAGAACTTACGAGCAACGAATTTTCAATTAATTTTAAAATTACTCAGCCTTGTCGTGTTGATATATAGGCGACTGTCTTTGAATTGTATTACGCTTATAGAGCAGGTATGTTTGTGACTCGAACCTGCTGATTGCAAAAAGAAGACACGAAACTCAGAAAAGAGAGGCTTTGCTTTAAATGTATCAACAAAGGGGCACTGGCGGAAATTAAACCTCTTTAATTCAAACCATAGCAAATTAAAAGGTCCGGATTAACAAAGGGTTGGAGCGATTTTATTTCAATATCTGTAGAGGTTCCCAACAGTAATCACCAGCTATTGAAGTTTCTGAGCTACCATGGTTTCACTAATACCTTTCGAAAATATACCTATACGAGTTTCGAGACAGTAAGTGAGTGAATGAATGAGCTGCAGTGAATGAGCTGCTTTTACTTGAACACTATACATGGTGAATATCGAGTTTCTTTCCAAATATCGAGTTAAAGCGTAATTTTGCTTGTTGGGACCATGAAATTACATGTATATCGAGTTATCCGAAATATCGAGACATCCGTATCGAGTTAAAAGAGCTTGAATAATGATAAATTAAGAAGGATTTTGCCGGGCCCGAGATGTTATGTCGAGACAACCGAGATATCGAGTTACCAGAGTTCGACACAGTGGTGCTCGACTGTATTTCACTTTACTTCACGACGGGTCAGCATGACGTTTGAGGAAATCATAAAATGTCACAGGACTTTATAAACTTGGTGCTAACAGCAGACCAACCAGGCGCATCAGCGAAACGGTAGACCGATCGGACAACAGTGTGTGAGTATGGTTTTACGCCGCTTTCAGCAATATTCCAGCAATATATGTACCCATGTGGGGAATCGAACCCGGGTCTTCGGCGTGACGAGCGGACGCTTTAACCACTAGACTACCCCACCGCACCCCAGACAACAGCCGACGTCGTCGAGATGCGATAACGTACACCTCCACGGTAGGGAGCAAAGGAGAATTCTGCTCCGGAAATCCTACGGGACTTCTTGTTTTAGACACGTCTTTGGCAGATGTTGAGTAATATTCATCTCATGCATGCAAAAGCTGATTCGGGATGTTAGAGAAGTGAGACGATCAACCACACGCGGGGAGTCTTTGTTTAGCGGCGGTGTCTGATCCAAGAATATCTGACAGGTGCTAAAATTACTTTGAACAGTCTGATATTTATAGATGGGTTATGATGTCTAGGTGGGAATAGTTTCAGAGAAAGGTTGGTGATAAGAAGTCACGCATTCCACAGGTGCCACTGTTTCGTGCACTTGCACCTGCGGACTTCAATTTTAGACAATAGACATGGATCAACGATAACATGATATTTCGAAGACGGATGATTTGTTACAGTCAGAATGATCAACACAGAGGGCCACGAACGAGTGAGACACAATTGCCTATAAACACGTGGGCTTCTTGTAATGTCGGGGCGGTGGGGTAGCCTAGTGGTTAAAGCGTTTGCTTTTCACGCCAAAGACTCAGGTTCGATTCCCCACATGGGTACAATGTGTGAAGCCCATTTCTGGCCCCCGCCGTGATATTGCTGGTTTATTGCTAAACATCACTGACTGACTCACTCACTCACTCACGAAATGTCATGGCACAGGAACGCCATAAATTTGTAACCATGTGGGGAATCGAAACTGGGCCTTGGTCAAACTAGATGAACGCTTCAACCGCTCACCTACCCAACGACTCAGTGTGCCTATGAAGGAAAGATTAGGGGGAGGTAATGTAACAAATGTAAGCTACGTTTGATGAAGGTAAGTCACACGACGAGGTAAATCAACAAGTACAGGTTTCCGCCATTGTGGACACTCAATCTCCAATCTGCACTCGTGATTCAATCGTAAGTGATAATCGTTGATAAGAATTTCAGTGTGTATTGTAGTAATGGGGAAAGTTTTCATTTTCGTTTCCGGTAAAAATACGATTTGTCATTCAGAAAGAACATGTCTTCCTGCACCTCTACTATAATCACTGTCGTCATCAGATATGTCACTGTTCCCAATCATCATTAACTTAGCCTGGTTTAGGTGTACGTTTTCATGCTGATATTGTACCACGTTCGTTGTAAGACCTTGTGGTTAGTGTGCTTCACTTCGCCATTATCCCGCATGAACATGTAGCTAAACTTTGCCGAGATGTACTGTTTACGGCTATACCACGTTGATCCCCGACCGCGTCATACCAAAAAGACGTTAAAATATGGTGCTTGTTGGTCCCTACCTGGCGCTCGGCATTAATGGGTACAACAAGGACTGGTCGGCTCGGAGTCAGTATAATGTGTCTGAGGGAGGTATTCATGCTTCACTGCGGCATGGTATCTCAGTGGGCTAGCACTATAAAACCAGCTTCAGTCTGGGCTAGTACAAGCAGCCGCACATACACATACACACGCATGCACGTCGTCATATGAGCGAAATATTCTCAAGCACGACGTTAAACCCAATTCCACCACCACCACTATACCATGCTGAAAACACTGGTTCTCGTCCGATCAACGAACTAAAGCAACATCGGGCCCGGAATGTACTTGTAGGGGTGAACGCCTGGGAACACCGGGTGCAGTAGACACTTCTTTTCTTTGTTTGACTACCAAAAGGTACATGTGTCTCATTGAAATCGGAAAGTGATGACACATTCTATTTCTTTTTGAATGGACCCAATCCTGCATGCCTGAATATTGATGTGAACGATTTGTTCTTACACACTTACATACTTTCACAAAATGGCTTTTCAATTAAAAGGGACTTTAAATGTGTTGTTCATATATATAAGTTAAACACATTCTTAAACATGTTTACTTCCAAGTGTTTACATTGTGTATCACAATTTACACAGTGTATCATCACCATCGCACTGATAACGCCATCAGCCAGCCCATGATTAACATGTCCATCTTACATTCCAGAGATGATGTACACACACAAGATAGCCGCCCCCCGTGACGAGCTGACCTTGGAGATTCTCGATACAGCATCGCTGGTATGGACATCGACAACATAGTCATTTTTGCATTAATAGTTTAAATGTTTTCATCAAGTATCTGCGAAGATTGTGATAAGTTCTCAGACGAGTGGGAGCGGTGAGATAGTCTAGTGGTTAAAGCGTCCGCTCGAAACGCTGAAGACCCGGGTTCGATTCCCCACATGGGTACGATTAGTGAAGCCCATTTCGGGGTCCCCGCCGTGATATTGCTGGTATGTTGCTGAAAGCGGCGTAAAACCATACTCACTCACTCAGACGTGTGAGTATGTGAATAACACCGCGGTCAGCAATATTTCTGTTATGGATTGGCGGTCTAAAATACAATCGAGTCTCGGCCATGAAAACCATTGATTGACGACTTGAATGCCCAGGTCGAGGTAGCCTGGCTACGTCACAGAGCCTGACCATCCAATCCCCATTTTAGTCTGCTCGATCAGAAACAGAAACAGGTACCCGTTCTGCCAACACCCAGCCACCCCAACCCCTCCCGCTTCATCAGTCCCACCCTATCCTATTCCCCAGTGTACTACGCTTCACAGACCCGTGAAGATCCGGGTTAGAGTTGATCTTCAGCAACCCATGCTTGTCGTAAGAGGCGACTAACGGGATCGGGTGTTCAGGCTTGCTGACTAGGTTGACAAATGTCATCGTATTCCAATTGCGAAAAACGATGCTCATGCTGTTGATCACTGGGTTGTCTGGTCCAGACTCGAGAGCTGGAATATTGCTGAATGCGTGGTTAAACAACCAACCAACCAACTATACTTCACAGACTACTGGGGCTAGATTTTCGAAGCTCTCTTAGCGCTAAGATAGTTGTAAGTTAATGTTAATGTATGGCACTTACGATTATCTTAGCGCTAAGAGAGCTTCGAAAATCTAGGCCCTGGATCAGACAATGTTGAAGCTCTTGACCATTGTTACGTAATAACTTCAATGAGAGTGCCGGCTATTTTGAGCTTCTGTCTCCCATGAGTGAAATCTACAAGCTGGTAACGAAAACGACTTTCCGTTAATGCACTGACGAATAATTAACTTAACAAACCTTTGATAAAATAAAATATGAATGTGATACTTTCAGATGACAGAAGAAACTCTGGAGAAACATCTGAGATGGGGCGACGGCTTTGTGTTGTTGTATTCCGTAACAGATCGGCAGAGTTTTCAAGAGGCTACGAAACTAAAAGACTGGCTTTTTAAGGTCAGAGGTCAAGATACTCCAATCGTATTGGTCGCCAATAAATCTGACCTCCTTACTGCACGTGCAGTGACGGAAGACGAAGGACTTGGATTGGCGGGAGAAATGGACTGCCCAAAATACGAACTATCTGTGGCGGAAGGATTTCAAGCTGTGAACGAAACAATGGAAGAACTACTTTGTCAGATGAAAAGAGAATTTGTGAAAGGTCTCACTGCTGCCGTTTCCGGTCTCGAGAAACGCTCGCGACTTTACAATATGAAGAAGGCTTTTAAGAAGCGGATCGTTAGGAGCCGGAGTGATACGTTTTGAAGGAACACAAAGTGCCACCATTTATGCAATCGACTTCCTTGGCGCCATGAGCAATACTTTGTAAATGGAAACGTGAACTGAGTTTTTGTTGGTAGACGTGTATTCATGTGTTGGCAAATGCTGAACACTGCCATGTGGTTGTTTTAAGTTGCCTGTTTGCTTTTAATGTTGAAGACGTGAGTATTGTTGTTGGTTTAACGGTTGGATTTTTAAAATATACACAAAGAAATTAATTAAGCACCCACTGTATTTTAGCAATGATAGGTTTTCAACACGTACATAAAACTTCTTGTGGTGACCACGATGGAAAAACATTTCTGACCCGTATGATCCCTTGACTCACGACAAAATTATTGGAATCCATGCTGATTTTATCATGATAATTGCACATTAAAAACTACACTGATTTTCATACAAAATCATGTCTATAGAAGTATGGCCCTGGAATGTTTCTTGTTGAATTATTTATTGATGAATGTGAACATTCAAAATGTCATTTTGCGTGTCAAGCTCAGTACCGAGTGTAACCTCCATGCGACTGTATGACAGCCAGCACTGTCCTCCTCATACCCCTTGTCAGCCTCCTGATCCTCCGAAAGGGCAGTCTACGCCACTTCTCGTGTAAAGCAGCTTCCAATTGGGCCAGGTTCTGTACAGGAGGATCCCTTTGTTGCACACGACGACCAATCATGTCCCAGATATGCTCCAAAGAGTTAGGATCGGGGCTCATTCAATCGTGGGAAATGTCAGGGGGTGTTTAACTAAGTTCTTTGTGTATATACTGCTCGACTATGTCAATTTTCATTTTTAGATTCAATTTGTTCTTTTTTTATATTACTGGAATATGTGGGCATTTCAAATCGATTATTTGAACCTTGTGAACGACGCATCGTTTACAAAAATCCTTTTCAGGGTTTGGTAGAGACAATTTCAGGTTCACCTAATACTGTGCTGGAAACCCCCTTGTGGGAAAGACCCCCATTTCTCAATAACGAAGACAACAATTAAGCACATAAGCATCTTTACATATTTTCAAAAGTTTAAAAAGGAAACAAAAGTTTTTCTGACTGTCGTGTGAACGTGTACCCCTCACTGAAGTGCCACCATGTCGTGGAGCCTGTATACACCTACAAAGTATCCAATGTAACAGTGAGCTAGATATTTGTATTTATGTCGCACTCATTGTCTCGCTTACTTACAAGTGCGCCCGTGTTCGTTATATTTTCTTATATATGTTACTAGTATATAACTAATGCATTATATACCATGTGTTTATGTTTGTGTTGAAGTCAATTCCTCACATGGTATACTTAGATTGCAGGTTTCACAAACAACCACTTCACTTTCAGTGTCAGACGTTGAGCTGGAAATGAAATCACCAGCAAGTCGAACTATCAAGACAAAATCAAGACAGTATGATCTGAACTTCGGATATGACGACGTGGGCTATATCGATAAGTTGGCTACTAGCCCACGGACAAGGGGAGGTGGTGTTGGTTTGGGTTTTTTGATGGTTTAGTTTGTTTTGTTTATATTATTTTTTGTTATTTAGTTATGTATGTATTTATTTGTCCTTATTGGGTTTGGAGGAGGGGGGAATAAAGGGAAGAAAACTAGAGCTGAAGATCATTAACTGTCCACCTGGAAATTACACCTTGTGTCTCTCGGCTTTCCGAACGCCCCAAATTCGTTTGAATGTCTACAATTGACATTGATAGTACATGTGTTTTGAGAGATGCTAGGAAGACAATCTTGCAAGCTCATACAAGGCCACTAGAAGTTTTTCAAGGTGCTGAGTCACCAAGAAACAAGTGAAAGCCTCGGCATCTAATCATTACCATAGAAACACTTCGTGCAACCTTTGCCATTACAAAACGGTTCCTGTTTATCGGTATAAGTATGTCTCTTTATATGCAAAAATAAATTGCTTCTTCGGGAAAATTCCTGAAGGTCTATATATTGCTGAAATCTATTATATGCAGTGTTTCATGTTTTATGTAGAGGAACAGTGGCGACAAAAGGTTTGACGTCATGAAAAAGACATACTGTCATTGTGTCCTAAAATAATTTTAAAGCTTTTCACAGGTCTATGAATTTGATACATGTATTTATTGGAGTTTTGCTAACCTAATGCATGGCAATGAATATACCTATATATACTCGGAGTGTTGGCAACCAATATTTTACTCCATTACGCAATATTATGAGAATGATATTTGACTAGTAAAACATCTTATATCTTATATCCATTCTGACATTGCGTTCCGCTGACATTGTTATCTGATATGCGGAACAAATTCGTGTGCGACAAACTGTAAGCGACGATATTAATTATTTAAGTCAATTTTTCTGTGTTATTTACGGCTTTGGAATGTGAGAAAAGTAACGACCTGAGAAACGAACCTGTGGATCAGCTTAAAACCTGCAGTTGTTAACAACTAGATGTCAAGTGATACTGACAGCTTTGAAATCCGTGCTTGTGTGGAGTCTGCGTGATGCATTGGTGATAACACGTAGAGCATGAACTCCACGTGCACTGCAGAAATGGATTCTTCCGTTGCACGCAGAACACCAAACGAAAGCGGGCTTCAGGACGGTTTTGTTGAATTGTGTTTGCAGTACAAATTAACACATTTATTCGACTTCGGAGGAACGGAATGAAACGGGGATTGTTTCATGGGCATCTGGTATGTTGTTTGTTTGTGCACAACAAGGTAATAGAACCTTTCTGTGTTGTCCTCCTGTTTAGCATTGTGAACCTGCAATATCAACCACATCCGGGTATCGTGTGTGCTCCTAAACCCTTCTCATGTCAATCTCACTCGCAAACATTAATCATATCTTTTTAAAAAATAAACGCAGAAAATGATGTTGTGGTTGTCATTTAGTATGTGTTAAGCAAATTACAGACAGACATTTATTGCTAAGTATTCCCATTAGAGTGATATCACCACGCATCTACCACCTCAAATCAGCAGAGTGTGGTTGTTGCCACAGCGCGTGGAAAGGTAATTTCAAGGGCGAGAAATGCATGACTTGCACGTGCAAGACATGATCAGTGCGCTGCATGGCAGGGAACGCATGAGCTGAACGTTGAATACATGATGATTAAGCTGTGTGTAGAAATGCATGCTCCACGCGTAAATCCCGTGTGAAAGGGTATATGCAGTTATTGTCTGGGGGCGTCTTGGATTTGAAACAACTAAGGGACACCACTCTGTACGGGTAGACGCGCCAGCTTGATACAACTGGCCAACTGGTGTGGTCATCGAACCGGTTTTATTTTGATGTATTAGAGGTGACGTTTCATAAACTGGTTTGTGATATACATACAATACATATGAATAAATGATTTACTGTTAGCTTTGACAAACTACAGTAAGCTTTCAGAGTTTTAAAAATCAGAGATCAATGCAATCAATGTATATCTCTTCCGTTTAAATACATTATGACATTAGGCGTTTTGGCTGTTTGGAATCAACGATTTCAATGGTGTATTCACACGTTTCATCACGTATTTCATTACATTTATTTTTGTATATTGTTTAACGCCGCGCTCGGCAATGTTCCCTCTACGGTGACCTTTTATTGTCGAACCTTGACCAGAGAATCCAGTGATGGATAATATGAACAAAACCCCAGCTGTGGAGGACAGCGCTACTGACCAAGATCCATTTGGTCACCTCCGACCACCAGCAAATGTTGCAATATCTCGCTATTCCAGAAACGATTCGGTGGTGGAATGGATAAAGCGTTCATCCTAAGAGCAGATGGTCAGTGCTTCGATCCCCAGGGCGCGTCATACCATAGACTGAAAAGTGGTACTGTCTGGGGCTTGGCTTCCAGTTGAAAACACAAGGACTTTTCAGCTCGAGGTCAGTGCATTGTGTAAGTGTCGAAATAGCGACGTAGTATTGAGAATGACCCGCGTAAGCTTCTGCCAGTTCATTTTCAAACAGATCACTGTGAAATAATCTTGAAAGCAGCTATAGATTCCATTTAACCCCACCTTACCAGTCACACAATCCAAGTTTTAGATACTCCACAGACTGATCTATAAATATTCCAGATATATCGCGTCATTTTGATAGTCGAATCTGGCCCGACACACCAGCGGCGGTTGAAACAGCAACGCTCCACGCCGTCGGGGTGGGCGGAGGCAACCATTCTGACTATCCCATCCCACTATGTCGTCTCATACATGAGACTATCGGATGGTAAGGGCCTCATCTAAGACGGCGTTGAAACAGTTAAACAGATAAAAGTGGCTATCGGTCAGTAAAATAGTTTTGAATTCTTTGCTTTTCGAAGCTGAACTACAAAACTATATATCTTTGCGATTTTTGCACATTATTATCAATCGAGTTGTGGGGTCCTGAAATGTTTACTGATTTCCATGGAAACGATTTTAACTTAAGGCTCGTGTTACCCATGTACTAATTTGGAAGAGGAGGCATGCACTGTTACGAATGAGTTTCAAGGTCAACTGTCACATCCAAAATCTAACTGAATCGTGGCAGCCAGCTTCATATATTACCCACTTTCAGCAGGTGCAAGGGCCAACTACCTGTCAAAAACAATGGAATCCAAACATAATATGGCGTCTCTGGGCAACTTCAAAACCTCTGTTTCTGCCGATAAAGATTTTCAGCTCTGTGGCTTTTCAACGTCATAACATGTCCCCAGTATCTTGACCGCCTCCGTGATGTAGTGGTTAGAGCGTCCGCCCGGAGTGCGGAAGGTCGCGGGTTCGATCCCCGACCGCGTCATACCAAAAGACGTTAAAATATGGTACTTGTTGGTCCCTGCCTGGCGCTCGGCATTAATGGGTACAACAAGGACTGGTCGGCTCGGAGTCAGTTTAATGTGTCTGAGTGGGGTATTCATGCTTCACTGCGGCATGGTATCTCAGTGGGCTAGCACTATAAAACCTGCTTCAGTCTGGGCTAGTACAAGCAGCCGCACATACACATACACACGTATGCACGTTGTCATATAAGCGAAATATTCTCAAACACGACGTTAAACCCAATTCCACCAAAACCACCACCCCAGTATCTTATGGTGGAGTAGCCTAATGGTTAATGCGTTCGTTCGCCACGCCGAAGAGCCAGGTTCGATTCTCCACATGGGTACAATGTGAAGCCCATTTATGGTGTCCTTCGCCGCGATATTGCTGGAATATTGCTGAAAGCGGCGTAAAACTAAAGTCACTCACTCACTTACTTGTAAGAGACGTTACCAGCAAGGATCTTCGCACGATTTTATTGCTAAACGTTCGCTCTCAATCATGCTGGTGGAAAAGGTCGACTAACTACACTCGATGACGACATAATAGCGTGTTGTTCGAGCTATCAACCACTAGTTCAAAATTGACTATTTAGAGGCTGATATGAAATGGTTGGAATATTACCGAAAGCCACCCACTCACCCAGAACAACCTTCACTCACTTCCCCAGCTATATTCGTCAGTGGCAATGCCT